AGGTCCAGCTTGACTTGCCCACCTGCTCCCCTCCCGCCACAGCGCAGACCGGCCACAGCCCTGTCCTCTGCACACCAGGGGAGCCTTGGGCAGAGGGCACTGCGCAGAAAACACGCGGAAGTGGCAGAGATGGGTGCTCTGACTCATTCGACCCTACCTTTGGTGTCTGTGAGCTTGAGCACCTGTGGCCATGATGAAATCTTACCGATGGCACAATGAGTCCCCCTCCCCAGGACTGTCCGCCGAACCCTTCCTCTGCCCGGGGTCAGAGTGCCAAGAAAGGGCTGGGCTACGTAAATGAACACTGGTCCTTTCTGAGGTGCAAGGTGACGTCCAGTGCCTGTGACACTGGGTCTCTGGTCAGCTTCCTGAGCACCTGTGGGGTGCCAGGCCCAGCGCCAGGAAGGCACAGATGTCCTCACCTGTGCTGAGGACCTGCTGGTGGGCAGACCCCCGCGGCTGGAGGCGCAGAGCGCCGTGGACTACAAGCAGGCTCACCGAGGTGCGGGTTCGGGCTTAGACTGGGAAAGGCCGGACCGTGAGGGGGACGAGAACGAGGATCGCGGTCTGAAGGGTGAAAACTCAGCAGGCACCAGCACGAGCGCCGGGTTGGAGTTCCGCAGGCGTGCGCGTCGGGTTCCCAGGACAGCAAGAGGAGAGTTCTGGGAGGGCGGCCCGTGACCTGCGGCCGGCCAGGAACATGGACTGCAGCCTAAGGATGGTGGGTGGTTGACAAGATGGGGTTTGCTTTAGAAATTGTTCTCTGGGGTTCAGAAGGCGAGTGGGCTGGGAGGGGGGGTGAGGACGACCTGGGGCAGAGAGAAGCCTGCTGTCTGAGGAGCAGGCGACAGAGGACCTGGGTCGTGTGGGAGGCAAAGCCCAGGAGAGTGGAGGCAGATGTGAGAAGGAGCCCGGAGGACAGAGGCTTCTCTGCTCTGTTGGGGGCTCGTGGCGATGATATCTGCAGAAACAGGCAAAGGAGAGAAGTGGGTTCGGGGAGGAGAAGGCAGTTCCATCGCAGAGGCCAGGTCTCCAGCGCGCAGACAGCTGACGTCCTGGTCTCGCGCGGCAATTGGAGCTTCGGTTACACACATGGGCGGGAGCTCCCTGGGGGTGGTTGAAGGCTGGGGAGGAATGAGGTCCTTCAGAGAGATCACACAGAGAGAAGTGGGGGGCACACCTGGGGGCACATGCAGAATGTGGAGAGCGTGGAGAATTTGAAAAGGTTCCACAGCACCCTCAACAGTGGAAGGCCCGTGTGCGTGGACGGTGGCAGCAGACCCTGGAGATGCGGGGGGGGGGGAGAGGAGGGGGGAGCACCTGCCCCCATGGAGTGCACGCTCGAGTGTGGCAACTGTCGCTCCCACAGGGAGGAAGCCAGGCTGTGGCAGCCGAGTCAGTGTTCTTGGGTCGCAAGCAACAGCAACCGGCTATGACGAACTTAAAGTAGCAACAACTTATCGGAAGGCTGGTCACTCACAGAACAGGCGAAGGGCAGGAACCAGGAGAGCCGAAGGGATTTGGGAAGGACGCGGAGGGGAGGCTTTCCAGGCTCCTGGACCAACCAGTTTGGTCTCGATGACACATCATAGTCTTTGTGACACAGCTGACATCGATGGGCCACCTCCAGTCAAGCACCCACCCCTTGGCCCATGGAGATGTTGTCCGATGCAGGAGTGGTAGTTCCTCAAAGGAAAATCGGGGGGCTCTTATCAGATGTAGGGAAATTGTTGCTGAGCTGGTTACAATAACAGATGTGAGGGAGTCCAAATGGTGTCAGACTAGTTCATTAATTTTTGCAAAGCTACATAAAAATAAAGGAGGCTTATGCTTAAGAGGGTTGCAGGGTAAGAGAAAAATGCAGCCTTGTGTTAGCAGCTGGAACAAGTAAGCAAAATGTAAACAATGCCATGAAGAGGGGACAGGAGCCTTTGGGAGAAGTCTCGTCCCCACCGCACCTGTGCGTGGAGCAGAGCGACGTTCACCCCGTCTCCTCGCATGTGTCCCCACACAGGCCCATGCTCGTCCCAGTGGCTGCAGACACACAGGTGAGGTGTGCTTTGGTGGGCACAGTTTGAAGCGCACGGGCCAGCTGACGCATGGCACGGGTACGTGCGCGATGCCCTCCAGCCTGGCTGTGCCTTCCGCAGCATCTGTGCTTGGTTTTGCAGCTGGCCTGCCCATCAGGAATCAGAAGGGCGGGGCTTCACTTCAGTTCACAAGCAGGGGACGGCGTGACACTCTGGGTTACTGGGACGGGTCTGAGTTTTCCAAGCTGGTAACGGAAATGTCCGTTGGTGCCCTGGCCACGGTCAGAGCTCCCGAGTCACATAGTTCGGGACGTGTGCGTCCTCACCTCTCTCGGACATGCTTCAGTGTGTTAAAGGGTATGCAGAGAAGTCCGCTCAACTTCTTTGTGCTGGGGAAGACCTGCATATAGAGTTGGAAAAGTCCTTAGGTTTAAATGTGTTGTCACATTTATGCAGTTCTGTGTATGGCCACCTTTATCATACAGGCCAACACTGCGTTACAATGGATGCCAAGGTCAGTCTAATGGAGCTGATTTCTAAGAAAAGCTGGCCAAAGGATTCTTTTCATGTGCATTGCGAGTGTTTGCTAATAATGTCCAATTAAAGAGTGGCCTATTCAGTATTAATAAATACTATTAAAACTTTCAACTCACTAGGGTTCATTATAAACGTTGGGCCTGGAAGCAAAACGTCGTGGTATGAGCCTACCGGCAGCACAGTGACAGGAAGTTCGGGGGGGCGGGCAGGTTTGGAGAAGGCGGAGGGAAAGGGAGCTGACGTCCAGGTGGACAGGGGAGCCCTGCCCCCTGTTCCTCTGAGACGAGGGGGAGGGGTGCAGGAGGGGTGCAGGTGACAGTCAGTTTCAGGCGGGGGGAGAGAACAGTTGAAGGTGTGACAGCTTATGTGTCCCTAGGGTCGTGAGAGACCAGTCGTGTTAAGCGGGTGCCGGGAGCAGGGTGGGAGCTTACGGTGTGAATGTGGAACACCTGTGAAGACTCGTCGGGGTCCTGGACAAGTACCGGATCACTGGGCAGCACTGGGGCTCAGCTGAAGACAGAATTAATACCTCGAGGAAGGGTCCGGCGCCAGGGTCTGCAGTTTTCATTCCTGCTGTTTAGCAACCCAGAGACAGAATTAGAAAGCACGAGAGGTCGGGAGGATGCATTGTTGGGGACTGGAAAGTAGTACAAGGAAGTTGAGGAGGACGAGGAGGAGGAGGAGGAGGAGGCTGAAATATTGTTCACTGGGTCCAGAGAAGGTATGCACGAAAGTGGGACCCAGAAGATCGTAGGTGAACGTGAAGATCAGGTGGAACGAGTGTGAGACTGTGGTAAATATATACAGAAATAGCTGCAGCCTGCACTCGTTTCCTGACATTTCTTGGGCAGTAAATGCCTCCCTTCGGGCCCTGCCCTGGTCTCACACCGCCTTCCTCCCGGGCTGTCTCCTGCCTCTGGTGCCTCGCGAGCATGCTCCGCATCGGACCGGGCGCCCTCACCCAGGACGATCTCGTCGCGAGGTCCTAACTTACATCTGCAAAGACTCTTTCTCCAAATAAGGTCACGTCCATAGGTTCTGGGTGGATACATCTTTGGGGGGGGCCACTGTTCAACCCACTACCTAGTCCTGGATGGACTTTCGGCATGAACCTCTCAGGACGAGGCCACTTGCGAGGACAGGATCCGCGGTACGGCCAGGAGTAAGAGTTGCTAAAAGAGAGGCGGAGAGGGAGGTGTTGAGTCGGAGGTCTGTGAAGCCCGGTCACTGGGCAGGGATGGTACGGGATCTGGGATGAAGAAGACAAGGAGCCAGGAGTCCGTACTCCCGGGGAGTGTGAAGAGGAAAGCTTTGGGGTTGGCCAGTCATCGTGCCAGGACCGAGGACCCTCTGCTGGTGCTCCTCAGCTCTGCCTTCAGTTGGAATCATTTGAGGAACTTTAAAAAGTATCCAACCCTAGATAGTTTTATATCCAACCCTAGAGAGTTTTATATCCAACCCTAGATAGTTTTATATCCAACCCTAGATAGTTTTAATCAGTTGGTCCAGGGTGGGGCCCAGACATCTATATTTTTTTGAATTCTTCGAGTGGCCCAGCCGGTGTGGCTCAGTGGTTGAGCATCGATCCTGTACCAAGAGGTCGCCGGTTCAATTCCTGGTCAGGGCACATGCCCAGGTTGTGGGCCAGATCCCCAGTGGGGGGCGTGCAGGAGGCGGCCAATCACTGTTCTCTCTCATCGATGTTTCTCTCTCTCTCTCCCACTTCCTTCCTCTCTCTAAAATCAATAAAGATATTAAGAAAGATATTTAAAAAAATAAAATTCCTCAGGTGGCCTAATGTTAGTGATAAGGGAAACCTTTATTATTGTTTTCATTTACAGTGGACATTCCATGTTATGTTAGATTAGTTTCAGGTATACAGCACAGTGGTTAGAATTTATTTCTAAAACACTTGCTGTTCCTATAAAACTAGCCTTTTCCCAAAAAAAGATTTTCTGATACGTGTGGAGAGGTCTCTTTTGCCACAGTTCAGTGCCTTCCTGGGTATCTTTTGAATATGCAATACCTGCATTAACAGTTGCAAGCAGTGTAAAAGGTTACACAGTAAAACGTCACGCTCACGGAACCCTGACCCCTCCTCTCCCCGCCCTCCCCAGAACCCCCTGCGTTGACCAGTTTCTCCGTGCCCTTCCCAAGATGAAGGTGCCGTGTCTCCCCTTTTTTCATTTAATGCTTTATCTTGGAAATCATTACTGCTTATTCCATCATTTATTTAACGCATATGATGGACATTTCCTGTCTTAAAGCAAACTTGCTAAAGACAAAAAAGTGAAATCAACTAGAGATAAAGTGGGTTCCTCACCAGATGAGAGCAGGTGAGCCCCAGACGTCACAGAGGAGAGGGGAGACCTCAGCTAGGGACAGGCCCGGACCTGGGCAGCCCTGTCTGACGATGTGCCCTTCTGCCCACAGGAGCCTGATGCCGCGGACCCTGGACAGCCAGATCACCCTGGAGAAGACCCCCAGCTATTTCGTCACGCAAGAGGCCCCTCGGCGGATCTTCAACATGTCCCGAGACACCAAGCTGATTGTGGTGGTACGGAACCCTGTGACCCGCGCCATCTCCGATTACACCCAGACGCTGTCCAAGAAGCCGGACATCCCCACCTTCGAGGGCCTGTCCTTCCGGAACCGCACTCTGGGCCTGGTGGACGTGTCCTGGAACGCCATCCGCATCGGCCTGTACGCGCTGCACCTGGAGAGCTGGCTGCAGTACTTCCCGCTCTCCCAGATCCTCTTCGTCAGCGGCGAGCGGCTCATCACCGACCCCGCGGGCGAGCTGGGCCGCGTGCAGGACTTCCTGGGCATCAAGAGGTTCATCACGGACAAGCACTTCTACTTCAACAAGACCAAAGGGTTCCCTTGCTTGAAAAGGACAGAGTCGAGCCTCCTTCCTCGCTGTCTGGGCAAGTCGAAGGGCAGAACTCACGTACAGATCGATCCCGAGGTCATAGACCAGCTCCGGGAATTTTACAGACCTTACAACGTTAAGTTTTACGAGACGGTTGGGCAGGACTTCAGGTGGGAATAAGCCTCTGACACCCAAGGGCTCCTCGCGAGGTTGGTTCTTAGGGCCTGTGATCCCCTCACCCGGCACAGCCAGGCTCCAGCCCCTTCCGCACCTTGGACCCCCTCATCCTGGAACCCGGAGGGCCCAGAGACCAGGGTCCCCGCCACAGCTCTTCCCAGGCTGCCCCGGCAACGCTGATCGACTCCCGACATGTCCAGTCAACTCCAGATCATGTCCCGTCAGCCCTCAACTGCCCTGGGAAATTGCTTTAGGAGAGCGGACCTTCCCATTATGCTAGCTTTTATAAGTGGTGATGGTTCTGTTGCTGTGACACAGCAGTCTGTCCCTGTCACTGTCCACCCGAGTGAGCTTGTTAATTCCGAGTGTCGTGTACTTCCCCTCTGAGCTTAACTGTCCTGAGCCACCCGGGGTGGTGGTGAGGGACCAGCCTCATGCTCCGACCCTACAGCTCACCCAGAGACGCAGAGCGGCCCCCGGCCACTCGTAGGAGACAGATCCTTTGACGATGGAGTAAACCAGAGCTTTCGAAGGCTGTGGTCTCAGCTCTGCTTCAGGGCGACTGTCTCTGAAACCACTTGGTGGCTCTCCCTGCTCCCTGTGGCCAAAAGCACATAATTCTGCTATTACGGGTACTTGCCTCACGCGAGCTTTCGTGTTCAGCATGCGACAGAATCGAGCTTGTCCATGTGAAATAAATATGGCTCTCTCGTGTCCTGAATGCCGGGCTCTCTGTAAGCTGGGCCGGAGCATGGCCATTCACTCAGGCCCTCCGTGCAGGTGGGGCTGGGGCGGGGCCAGTCTGGGCGGGTGCAGGTGGGGCTGGGGCGGGGCCAGTCTGGGCGGCCGCAGGGGCGCAGGCTGCGTGGGTGTCTGCAGGCTGCGGGGACAGGGAGCGAAGTTCTCTCGGGCAGAAGCGGGGCAGGAACATCACGCAGAGATCTGTGGGGACAGCTTTCTGAAACATGTCCGGCGGTGCCCGCTCTCTGCCTGAGCTTTGCATCCCAAGTGCCAAACTAGAGGCCCAGGGGCTAGAGGGCAGCACATATGCTCCTGCCAGGCCAGCGTGACATTTGGAATAATTTCCAACATCTAAAACTTGAAAGGGTTCAGCCCTGGCCAGTTTGACTCAGTGGCTAGAGCATCAGCCCACAGACCAATGAGTCGGGGGTTCAGTTCTGGTCAAGGGCACGTACCTCAATTGCGATTCATCCCGGCCCCGGTTGGGGTCGTGCGGGAGGCAGCCACTCGATGTGTCTCTTTCACATCGATGTTTCTCTCTCTCTCTTCCCCTCTCTCCCTTCAGCTCTATCTGAACAAAAATGGAAAAACGTCCTCAGGTGAGAATAAAAAATAAAAAAAATGCAGTAAAACTTGAGAGGGTTCATAGGAAAATATGAATACCCAGGTTTTTAAAAATGGAAACTTGGCTCACGGCACCTGCACTTCAGAGAGGTCTGCTGCCTCTGGGTGGGCCGCACCCCAGTGTCCCAGCCCCCACCTGGCTGCACTGACTGCTCCCCTGCCTGGCCCTGCTGCACCCCAGTGTCCCAGCCCCCACCTGGCTGCACTGACTGCTCCCCTGCCTGGCCCTGCCGCACCCCAGTGTCCCAGCCCCCACCTGGCTGCACTGACTGCTCCCCTGCCTGGCCCTGCCGCACCCCAGTGTCCCAGCCCCCACCTGGCTGCACTGACTGCTCCCCTGCCTGGCCCTGCCGCACCCCAGTTCACACCCTGCTCCAGCAGGACTGTGACTGCAGAATCCAGCCCAGGTGTTGCCGGGCCATCCGCTTCTCCTCCCCCACCCTCTGCCCCGGCTCACAGGACTCGGGCCCTTTCTCAACTCTCTCCTGCTGTTGCCTGGAGTGGCCCCCACCCCGCGTCTCCAGATCATGGGAACCCCATGCTCCTATAAGACTTCACTCTAGTGTCCCTTGCGGCCTATCTGTGAAGCCTTCCCAGCCACACTGAGTCACTGAGTTATCTGCTCGCTCTTTTGTGTTCACTTGGTAGTTTTTGTGTACATCTCGGTTACAGCGTTTATCACCCTAGACAATCTGTTCCGATGCCTGTCTTGACCACAGGCCATGGCCCTCCTGAGGGTCAAGCTCGCAGCTTGCTAACAAGTAGTATGCACACAGCGAATGTTTGATGGACGAATGTGTGAGCGGGTGGGTGGGCATTGGAGGCCTGGGTGCCTGGACAGGATTGTCCCCAGGAATTGTCCTTTGGGACACTTCCCAGATAGCAGGTGTCCAGGAAGGACAGCTGAGCCTCCAGGGCCACTTACACTGTCTGCCCCCGGGCATCCTGGAGCTCCCTGGAGATCAGAGGCTGGCTTGCTCGGCTGGGGGACCCAAGAGCCTGACACACGCGTGGTCTCGGCCCAGCCTCCCTCCCCAAGCATTTTCCAGGAGGTCGAATAACTGAGGCCATGATACCCAGAAGCCAGATCTGGGGGTTTGCCCTCTCTGTACCCCTCACGGGCATGGGGAAGGGACACCGAGGCCAGGGGAGCCACACCTCCCAGAAGCTGGGGCCCCGAACCTCTGGTGACCAGAAGGATGGTTGTATGAGGACATCAATGAATTGTCCTTACATTCCTCACCCAAAAGAGTGGGTGTCCTGTGATCCCGGCCACATGGCGGCCAAAGCTGTGTCCGAAGGAAGACAGAATGCCTTTGGGACACAAAGGAAGCCCCAGGAAAGTGGTGATGAGATTTGCTTGTTTATCCTGACTGGGGAGAATCCAGTCAGAATGGGTGAAAATCCTGAGTTTTGTGTGCATGAAGGCAGGTTCATGCTTGGCATTACAAGCGTTCTCAGCCCACCCAGACTAAGCAGCCTCATATTAATAAGCAGGTCAGAGTCTGTTGCATTAGCAAAGGGGTCATTGTATGCAAATGAAGGATGCTCAGTACCTTAAAAACCCTGGTATGCAATCTGCTCCACGAACCCTGATTCTTAATCCAGCATAAATGCACCCTTTCGCCCAAGCTCCCCGGGTTCCAAATATCTGTGTGTGCGCGCGCGTGTGTGCATGTGTGTGTGTGTGTGTGAGCGCGCGCGCGTGTGTGCATGTGTGTGTGCATGTGTGTGTGCGCGTGTGTGTGCGAGGGCTGTCTCTCGCTACCAGTGCAGGTGGATGGGATTCCACAGTACCGGGGATTCCGGCTCCCTCCGTCTCAGCGCTCAGCCCTCTGCCTGGCACCCAGCAGGAGGGGAGTGCAGAAAGGGGTGCAGAGCCTATGGACGGAGCTTGCGATGGCGAGGAGTCTGCACTGAGAAGGTTCTGGAGGGCCCCAGGGGAGACTGTGGGCAAGAGCAAGCTGGAGGCAGGTTAACTGGAAGCAGGACACCCGAGGGGCTCGGTTTGCAGGCATATCTGACCTGAGTTGAAAGCAGAGACCTAAAAATAGGAACGCTGGCATCATTGGCCAGTTGCTGCAGGTCAGAGATCTGTGGTCACGTCGGGTCTCACTGCGGTCCGTTCAGACATTCAGTCTCCCGAGAGCAAGCGGGGCTCAAGCAGAACAAGCCCCCCATCTGAGCTGGCCGCACCCTTTACACGCAGCTGCTTTGTGCTGTGAACGGGGCCGCCTAGGCTTGTGCAAGGCGGTGGGGCTGCCTTGCTCACATGCCCCGTGGGCAGCACGCGTTCCTGGGCTGCTGAGCGCGAGGGCAGCTGGCATACACGATCGGTTAGTTGTCCTCGTCGCTCCTGCTCCTGGACAGATGGGGACGGGAGCCACGTCGACACAGTTGCTGTGTAATGGAGCGAACTGAGGTCGCGAGGGGACAGGGAAGAGAGCAGGGACTTTCCTGGAGGACGTGGCAGGGGAGCCCTGTCTTAAGTGAGTCGGAGTCCCTCTTTTGGAGAGGAGGGGTATATGCCAGTCTGAAAAGCCCCTGGGGCATGATTTTTGTAGGTTGGGTCACCTGAGACCAAAGATAAGGGCACTGGGGTAAATGCTGGTCACTGGACTGGACCCTGGGCTCATCCACACCACACTCAGCTTTCCCAGACTCAGAGAGCACCTCACCTCAGCCTCCCTGGTGCTCGGGCAGAGATGCAGACTCGCTCTCTTTGCGGGATGAGATGGGCCTCCAGGCTGAGATGCGCTAGCGGACTCGGACTCCGTGAGACACACGTGATCTCCCCGTTCCCTCGCGCTGCCTCCCAGCGCCCAGCCCCAGAGAGTGCAGAGCGGTTCAGTGGGTCAGTGGGTGCCCAGGGGCTCCTCACGCTGCGACATGGACCCGGCTCTTGGCAAACTGGCTGCCTGATAAATAAGGAGACATGTTGCTTTCATCTTTTCTTTTTTTAAAAAAAAGTATATATTCCCCAACCTCCGAAACAAACTCAGAACAATTTTTATTCCATTTCTCTGGTGAGAAATGAAATGTGAATGTGCCATTTGGGATCTATGCTCCTAACTGCTTTTTACTGACGAGAGTGTCATAAACGATTTAGTGTCTCAGATGGAAGGTGTCAGCTGCAGAAGCCTCGCTGGACGGCGCAGTCGCTCCACTATGTCATGTCGTGAGGGCCGCGGGCTCCTTCGGTCTTTCTGACACATCAGCCTCAGCCCCTGGTTTTCATCCTCATGGTCCAAGGCAGATGCTGGTGCTCCCGCCACCACATCTATGTTCTAGTCAGAAAGAAGAGGGAAAGAAAGAAGTCAGGAGAATACTCTTCTTGATCAAGTTAACCCATTTGAGGAGATTTTCCAGAAATTCTACCCAGTAATTTGTGCTCACCTCACTGACCACCTCTACCCGAAACAGAGGCCAGAAAATATGGTTTCTGAGCTGAACACATTGTCTCCCTGACAACCCAGGATTTCGATGCTAAGGAAGGAGAGTGGATATTGAGAAGGAAGTTAACCGTCTGTTAAAGTGAAGCCCCACGATTTGGAAAGTTGTCTTTAGATTACCGCTATCTCCCAATCAACTTTCCAGACGGTTCTAGTACCTCCCCCATGGGAGACCTCCAGCTGCTCTCTCTACCCCTTTCGCT